TCCTTTGTGCCAACAAAAGTTGACAAAATATAAGATAAAATAACAAGAAATAATCAAAAGATAAAATAGGGGTCTTGAGTTACACTATTTGGTTTGTGGAATCTTTCACACTCGACAAAGTCTATGAACATTCATTAATCAGTTCTACAGATTTAAAATTTGTGTGTCTTGGGTGTACCTTAACAAGCAGTTTCTATTTTGAAAGAATTTACAAGGTATTCACAGCATTTATCTTTTAAAAAACCCAACAAAAAAATAGCAAAGCCTGAATCAAGTGCAAAAGTGGGATAATTCACTCTCACTAAAATGCAATTCAGGTTAAAGAATAAACCAAACTAAATATTTATGGCTAAGAAGTTCTCACAACATATCCTTTCTAAGCAAGATGCATAATGTCTTTAATTTTTCTACTTTATGAAGTTCTGCTACAGAAGACAGTGATATATTTTAGTGGATTTCATAGATACAGTTACAGAATACCAGAGTATTTACTTAAGCGAGGATCGGGGAACATTTCCAAATTTCTCCTCCCCTCAACTTTAACTAGCTCAAGTACCGGTATTTAGGATTATATGTTCAACGACTTACTTCACAAAGCATAACAAATTACTGATGAATCCTAAACTAAACTAGACAGAAGATATGACACCAGCCAGAGTACCTTTGCTACCATACAGACTGAGAGAGGTGGACATCATTTAAGGGTCCAATCCTATTCTCACCAAAGTCAATGGAAGAATGGCAACAAATTTCAAGACAGAATGCGGTTTTAACAACTCCAGACAACAACAGTTATCTATCGTGCTAGAAATATGTAACAGCAGACTACATAAGGATGCTGTTACTCCCCTGAAAACCCCCTGTTGCAGTTCATGAGAAAATGGGGCCTGTTCTGAGTATGACCAATCTGGAATTTAAGCTGGAGACAGCACAATATTTATCCTCCCACTGCAAACAGCGGAAAACATGCGGCTTAGCGAGACAAGGAATTCTTTCGGCTTTGATGAGGAAAGGAGGAAGAGAAAGAAGACAAAACACTTTCTTTCTGTGAAAACATCATCAACAGTATCCCCTCTTTCAAGAGACACCACTGTTCTCTAATCCTTGGGAGGCGAGGGAAGCCATACACCATCACCCTGGATTTCTGCAGGAAATAGAGGAGCCAGAACGCACCCCTGGTGCAGACATGAAGGAACTCGACAGTCCCACCTCGTCTTCCCATTTGTTCCTCATGAAGAAATCTGACTGTCCCACCCATCCTGAGCCTCCACTGGCAGCCCTCCTATGCCGTGCCCAAACCACACCGCACACTGGGACTAGAGCTGCCTGTAAACAGTGCCTTGCAAAATGCCCCATCCCTCCCCGAGAGCCGTAAGGTAGGTAGAAAAGACTGAGCAAAAGCCCTCACATTGGCTGTATAGGGATGCCTACAGTCCATGCTGTGGCTGAACTTACATTGCAACATTAGTTCCCCGTTTCTCTGAACTTACGCTGCAGTTAAAGGCATTTCCGTTTACAGTATTTAAGAATATCTGGGGTGGGGGGTAAATCAGTACATGCACATCCTGAGTAGCCAGTAAAATAGCAAAAGGCATAGGTATGGAAATCTAAGGAGAATCCCCATGTTTTCTTACTTTCATGCTTTAGGATACATAAGTTAGCAAAAGCAAGCCTGATAACCACATCATCAGCCGCTGAGTACAATGAGAAAAGCAGTTAAGCATCTACCCAGGCCCTTAACAATTATTAATAGGATTGGTCCTTCCATCTCTATCTGGAAAGCTAAGTTTCTTCCAAAAATAAGATCCCCTATTATATTTCTGCCTTTACTAATTTTTCATGTCTCTCTCATATCCAGCATCACAGGTCCATTCATAACTAGACACTCTGAAAAACTTCTTTACCAATATATCTCTAAATGACATTTTGGCCTATAGCAGGCTTTACAGTTAAAAATATGAATGATAATATAGAACTGACTGAATAAATTCCATCTTTAAAGTGTTTTCCACTTGGAAAACAGCACTACTGATACAGTTGTAAATTATTAAGTTCGAAATCATATGCAACAGAATGGCTTAGTGACAAGTTACTTGTGTAAAAGTCTATAATGTTATTGCTTAACACTTTAGCAAAAACTTTACAGGCTCTTGTACGTTCACTGCATTTATTATCCATATTATGGATCAGGGCAACTCCTAGTATCAATACAGGCTGCGAGATGAAGGGATTGAGAGCAGCCCTGCCGAGAAGGACTTGGGGGTACTGGTGGATGAAAAGCTGGACATGAGCCAGCAATGTGCACTCGCAGCCCAGAAGGTCAACCATATCCTGGGCTGCACCCAAAGAAGGTGGAAGGATGTGACTCTGGCCCTCTGCTCCGCTCTGGTGAGACCCCACCTGGAGTCCTGCATACGGCTCTGGAGCCCTCAGCACAGGGAAGGCATGGACCTGTTGGAGAGGGTCCAGAGGAGGGTCAGCAAAATGCTCAGAGGGATGGAATAGCTCTCCTGTGAGGGCAGGCTGAGAGATTTGGGGCTGTTCATCCTGGAGAAGAGAAGGCTCCGGGGAGACCTTACTGCAACCTTCCAGTTCTTAAAGGGGCCTTATAAGAAAAATGGGGACAGACTTTTTAGCAGGGCCTGTTGTGATACGACAAGGGGTAATGGTTTTAAAATAACAGAGGGCAGATTTAGACTAGATAGAAGGAAGAAATGTTTCACAGTGAGGGTCATGAAACACTGGCCCAGGTTGCCCAGAGAGGTAGTAGATGCCCCATCCCTGTAAACCTTCAAGATCAGGTTGGACGGGGCTCTGAGCAACCTGGTCTAATTGAAGATGTCCCTGCTCATTGCAACGGGTTGGGCTAGATGACCTTTAAAGGTCCCTTCCAAGCCAAAACTATCCTATGATTATAAGGTTGATAAGATCCATATTATAGGCTGATAATAAATTTGGTATAAGCAAAGCTGAAGCAACTTGTGGAATTGCTTGAGGTTGTTTCAAAAAAGGGTTGGCAATATAGATGACTATCTACATTAGGATACCCTTACTGATTTTAAATACACTGTTCACCAAGCAGTGCACATGGAACAGTCTGCTAAATAACAAAACCTAGAAAACTGTAGAGATTTGCTGCACCTGCCAAGTCAAAACACAGAATTACTCCTTAAGCATGTTTAATATACAAATATAATCCTACTTAGGTATAACAATCCCACTTAGGTGTTTAGGTATAAGAAACTTTCACTTAAAAAATACACTTGGAAATCCCATGTAAATACATAAGTATTAAGCTTTTAAATACTATAGAGAACTACTGTAATACATCAGAATTTTCTCAAAATTGGAATTAAATAATCAGAACCACTTATTATGGATAAGGATCCCATTGAAATGTAACCTGACAGGTGCCTACGGACTAGCAATGAGAAATGCTGTCCTTTCAGAATGGCAACAGTTAGTTTGAGAAATAACCACACACTTGGTTTTAAAAAGAAATTTCTCAACATTGTTGTAGAATCATAGCTCCCAGATGAGCTTAAAGTAAAGTTTTGGCCTTGGACACATGTGGGTGGTTAGCTGGATTAAGGAAGAGCTTTTAATGATTTCAGCACATTGATGAGACTAATCATCAAGTACCAAATACAACGCTAGAATTAGCATGGTTAAAAAAAAATTCCAGGAGTTAGAAATGCTGCAGCAATAGCAACAAAAATTATTCTAAATGAGAGAAGTTAGCTACAGTGAAACATTTAAATAGCTCAATCTTTCATTTTATCAGAAAGATCTTATAAAGAATAAATATTTTCCACTGGAAGAAAATGCCAAGTAATAACAGATATTAAAATGAATAACAGATGTTACAATGACACAAAAGACATAAAAGAAACCCAAATGGAAGCAATAGCCAAATTCAATTCAGAAATTTCTTGAAGATGAACAACCAAATAAAACCTGCAAGGATACCAGCTCTTAGAACCAATTAACAGTAGGACTGATAGATCCCTCATTTCTTAACATTTTCTTACGAGATTTGGATACCGTTCTACAAAACACACTTCAATGAAACAACTTACTGGACTCATTAAATCAATAGCAAGCAATTCTTAACCCACTATTAGAGGTCTGGCTAGATGGTGTAAGTGGACATTCTGGCAGCGTATGAAACTAACTAAACATTGCTACATAACAAGCAGATGTCAAGACACTCATATTTAAGGACATTACATCTCTTCACAAGACATAAATTATGAGTTATTCCCGTCTTTACTAAATTGATTTAATTGAAAATTCTTATGGAATTTAAAATAATTTTTTTGCCTTTTTTTTTTCTTCATTATCTTCAACAACAAAGATAGTAGATAAAGAGTATATTGTTTATATAGATAGCTAAAAATTGCAACCAGAAGCTACTGGAACATCAAGTAACAGAACTAAGAATAGGTAAACCATTTTTCTCTGATATCAATTCCTTCATCTGACAGTCAGGCAAGAAATTATTGAGGAAAAATAATGACCTCAACTAGAGGTCAGTAACATAAGGAGTTTTGTCTGGACAAACAGTAAGACAGAAAACATGACAGATAGATGAGCATCAAGAACTGGAGACTGGAAGCTAGTATTGGATTGAGTGGTTAAGCAGACGGGCAGTAAGAAGCCTGGAATTCAGAATCAATGGAGGGCATCAATTAAGCACAATTCAGTGTTTTGCTTCTCTGAAGAGACAGAAGAGAGTATTGACATTAGCCCATGCTTTGAGTGAGTGTTCATTATAGTACTATAAATTATCATGACATCAAGTGCTTGGTTTTGAAGGGCAAGAAGACTGAAGACATTAAATGTTTCTGAGTGGTAATGATCACTGAAGGGTTTTTCTCTTAGTATGATAATTCTCTGACAGCACTATAACAAAAGGTTCAAGAAAAAAACCACACAAAAACATACTGGCATGTCCTAAACACACTACCAGAGTTATGGAGGTTTTAAAAAGTACTTACTTGGTATGTGTCCCATAACCTGATGGTACACCGCAAAGGGACTTCTCTCATCAGCAAGTTATTCATCCAACGGAAAGCAAACTGCAAGTATCTCACCTCATGCTGATCCAAGTGCCTATGAACTTGTTCTGAAAACAGAATGAACATTTTACTGTAACTTTTCTTAAGTCCTTAAGTATCAAATGCACTGTTTGAAAAAAATAAAATACTTCTCCGATCCCAAGTAAATAAAACGTTGATGCTGCATGCAAACTCTAACAATGGAATGAAAATCCCCAAAATAGAAACTACTAGTTAAACATTACATTGGATTTATTTTTCTGCCTCTAGACAGCTTAACAACTGCTCTCAGTTGTGCTACCTTAAGAAAATATTAAGGTCAGAGCTTTAGAAAAGATCACAAAAAATATACAAAGTTATAAAGTGAAATGATTAGATACATATATCCTCACTAATTTCTTAGGCTACAGATTTGGGGGGGCAAGACTTCCATAAACAACGAGTGCAAATAACATAACAGCTTCCAAAAACAAAGTGTTGGTAATAAAAAGAAGACAACATTAAATTAACAAGGCAAAGATATATAAGGAAAATACATGTAAAGGTTGCATTTGCTTGAGACAAAAAAAGTGAGATTAATGTGTAGGAAACATGGTGAAAAAATTTAAATAATTTGCAGCTTAAATAATTTCTTAATATAACAAATAAATACCACTAAAAATCAGTATAAATCAATGTTTTCTAAAGCAGTACTCACACACACCATGCTTATTGTAGCACATTTATTATTTGAAACCTGTGATAATCACTTGCACGGGTTATTGCTAGAGCTAATAGAACAAATCTACTACTTGGCTTTTATATATTTAGCAGACTTTCCTCCAACAAGGATCACAGATATTCTGTTAACAGGTTTTAGCTAACAGGCTCAAGTATGACATTAGCATGGTGTAAATGACAACTACTGCAGAAATGCTAATGTCTTATTTTCATAAATATATGACAAGTCTTTGTTAAAGCCTAAATAAGACATTCCTACTGTCTGTCTTTATGCAAATACATTCTTGGGAGATTTTGCTGCCCAGATCATCTATTATCCACATTATTCACAGAGATGTATTATCAGCTAAGATAATGAGTACATGCTGATCTTCCAAATTTCACATTTCTTGGGAAGATTTAAAAAGGCACTAAAATAATTAAAAAAAAAAAAATCCCAAGACTATGGTAGTACTGTTAGAGGAAACAGTACCTACAGGTTAAGGTAGCAGAAAATAAATTATACTAAATTATAATATAGACTGAAGTTATTAAAATGATTTTTTTTCTCAAGGTATGTTTTGTGGCTATATGAAAATGTCAGACAATATGATACAGTTGTTTCAATGCAGAAGCAACAAGTAGAATTTTTTTTAGATTTTAAAAACAATCAATAGTGAGGTTTTTTTAAAGGTAAGGCCAGTCACAACACATTATACCAAAGGTCCATCTATCACAACATACAACATCCTTTCTCCAATGGTGGTTGAAAACAAATACACATGGAAATGTATAAAGCACCGGTATTTCTCCATGGCACTCTTCAGTCTCTATCTGTGGCTAAAGCAGTCTTCGGCAGACCTGGTATCTACATTCCTGAAGTCATGTCCTTCTCTTATAAAAGTGTAGACAAATACATAAAACTCTTTATGCATGTCTTAAAACTACCTGTTATTTCTCCTGGGAACTTTTAAAGTTGCAACTATATATAAAGCTGTGTGAATCTTTAAATGATTCATTTCATTTCTATGTATAACACTAACCACATAATTAAACACTTCTGCTATACAACAGACGGAACTGCTGCTATGGGATGTGAAAAGGTAGAGAATGAGGGTGGAGAGGCAATGATCTCGTGCTCTTTTAAGTGATGTCATCAAGTCCTGGATAATCCCTCTCCTTCTGAGTCATTATGTGTACAGAACAAGTACTACAGCATTACCACTGTATATTGTGCCTACATATTGTCATTATTTCTAAAATTACATGAGAACCTTGTGATAATAGCTTCAGCCTTCCAGTCTCAAGACCTTGTGCCTTCTCTTCTTCCTTCCTCTACAAACCAAATACCCTCCCATCACCTTCCCACCCTTCTTTCCCAGGCTTTCTGCAAAACTCATCAGCTGCCCCAGCTGGGAGAGAGACACCACTCAATACCAAAGCTACTTCTGAGCCCTGCATGAAGTGAGCACCCTGTGCAAGGAGTATCCAGCCGGCACTCCAAACACAACAGCTACCTGTTGGGCTTACTCTGCAGCCCTTCCTCTGCAGCCCTGCTAATCTGGGTCACTTTTTTTTTTTCTTAAATAATCAACAAATGAGCTTTATAAAAGTCATAAAATTCTGCACAGCAGACACTTTTCTGCCTCTGTAACATGCTGATGAAGCAAGTCCTCAGCTTGAAAAGTTATTGGAAGGAGAAGACAGATGTGGTAACCACATATGTTCTGCAATCTTAGAGAAATAGGTTTAAAAATTAAATATGGCAGTCTATATGTAAGAAGGCCCCATTCTGAAGACAGTGTAAGCTTCAGAAGCCTCTGTATTTTCATTTTCCACACAGAGGCCTTGCATGCCTCTAATTTCTAAAATGTTAGAACAGAATAGAATATTTTCAGTTGGAAGGGACCCACAACAATCACCTAGTCCAGCTGCCTGACCCCTTCAAGGCTGACCAAAAGTTAAAGCATGTTACTAAGGGCATTGTCCAAATGCCTCTTAAACACTGACAGGAACACTGACACCTCTCCAGGAAGCCTGTTCCAGTGTTTGATCATCCACTTGGTAAATAAATGCTTCCTAATATCCAGTCTGATCCTCCCCCGGTGCAGCTTTGCACCATTCCCACACATCCTATCACTGGATACAAGGGAGAAGAGATCAGCACTTCCCTCTCCACCTCCCCTCCTCAGGAACCCATACAGAGCAACGAGGTCACCCCTCAGCCTCCTCGTCTCCAAACTAGACAAGCCCAAAGTCCTTGGCCGCTCCTCATAGGACATGCCTTCCAGCCCTTTCACCAGCTTTGTTACCGTCCTTTGGACACTTTCAAGGGCCTTCACATCCTCCTTGAATGGTGGGGCCCAGAACTCCACACAGTACACCAGATGAGGCTGCACCAACACTGAATACAGTGGGATAATCTCCTCTTTTGACTGTCATGCTGTGTTTAACGTACCCCAGGGTGCAGTTGCCTTCTTGGCAGTCAGGGCACACGGCTGGCTCCTGTTGAGCCTGGAGTCAACCAGCACCCCCAGATCCCTTTCTGCAGGGCTGCTCTCCAGCAGCTCTTCTCCTAGTTTAGACTTGTGCGTGGCGTTACTCAGTCCTAGGTGCAGGATCTGGCATTTGTTCTTGTTAAATTTTCAAATGTTAAATAAATTGTTGATGGTTGCCCAGTGCTCCAATCTATACAGATCCCTCTGCAAGGCCCCTTGTCCCTCAAGAGAGTCAACAGCAACCTCCCAGCCTGGTATCATCAAACTTGGTAATGGTGCATTCAACTCCTGCATCCAGATCCTGGATAAAAATATTGAACAGAAGTGGCCCTAGAATTGAACCTTGAAGGAGACCGCTAGTGACCGGTCGCCAGTTAGATGTAGCCCCATTCACCACAACCCTTGGAGCCCAGCTGTCAGCTGGTTCTTCACCAGCACACAGTTACTAGGTTAGTTATTCAGGGCAAGTACAGAATTACAACCATGTGTCTGCCTTTGCTCTAGGCAAATTTACCTGCAAGTTAAATATACTGAAATGAGATACTAGGTTAAATTTACTTTTTAGATGTCACATTTAGATACCTATATTGCAGATTCTATACCTATATTGCAGATTCTATAATTAGATAATCCACTACATCAAGCAGGATGAAAAAAAGTCAGTTTTATTTCTAACTGAAGTTACTAAATCACAAATATTTTTGTTCTTCACACAGCAGAAACTAATCTCATTTGGTTGCTTGCAGCCATTGAAAGTAAGTAATGAAGAACAATAAATTGTGCCAGTTGTGATATTTCAACTACGGTTCTTAATAGGCATAATGAATTTCTCAAAAGTTGCTTTCTAGTCTAAACAAGTTGAAGAATAGACTACTAAACTCTGTGCATTATATACACAATTGATGCAAGACTGGAATAGAAGATGCACTGACTAAAAAAGCTCATTCTTCCTACTTTGTAAGTAATCTTGAGTAGAGGCTATTTTGCTGATAAAGGTAATTTGGACAGTCATAATCTAAATTTAAATTTTCCATTTCGATGAAAATAAGTACGTGTGTGCAATGAACAAGCAAGATATATAATTACTGTCAGCTTTCAGCTTTCAAGTATTTTACAAAAAAATGCAGTTTGATAGTAAAATTATTTTACAGTTTTTAAAAAAGACAGTCCCTTTATCAAAATTCAAAAGAAAGAAGAATTACATTTATTAAGTTTTCCAATACTTTGAATAAATCTATATATAAAGTTTTGGTGAAGCAAGTCTTCTGCTTAAAGAATAAAATACATTATACAGATGCATTCCAAAGTAGCATACTGCCAAAACTATGTATTTGTACATAAAAAGCATTTGTAACTATTTATAATTTTAATAAATACACCTTTTGGATATATTGGCTTGAATGATCTCATTTAGCCACCTTAAACAGATGCTTCTTATGGCAGAAGAACCTATACATATAAAATACTTATGGTTAATGTTTAACACCAGCTTCTCATGCCGCATTACTGGTTTCAGAATTAACGTTGTATATGACTAGAGAATCACAAACTAAAGCCACAAGTAAGGACAGAAAGAAGCTGTACTAAAGCATGACTGAACTGCTGTCCTGACTGAGGGATACTGTCCGAGTGAGTGCCTAGGAAAGTTTATATATAAGCAAAGAGGAACCACAAAATAATACTAAAATTATGCATGAATTGCCAAATTACAGTGGCACAGTATGGTGCCACCACATACATCTGTATAGTTTATTACTTCAGAATATTAGATTTTGGTGTTGACCTTTTTTTAAAGATTCCTATCAAACCTAGCAATCTTTTCTGACATGTGGCTTCAGACCTAGTTTTGACACTTTAAAATTATTCAAAGT